TTTTTTTTTGCAACTAAACTAAAAATGGAAAATGTTTTTTAAAAATGTTTTTTAATAGATTATGTAAATTATATATGTACATAATACTTTATTTATATAATACTTTTTTAATTAGTGAAATGAGTGAGATTCCAATAAAAAGTATAATATTAATTCTGATGTATGGGAAATTATATACTATGTTTATATACACTTTATCATTTTCTCATAATTTATTCTCATTATTGGAATTCCATTGTAAAAATACAAATTCTATCTAATTGTAAAATGCAAATTCTATCATTTTCCTAATTTAGATGTGATTTCAAAACTTTTATGTGAAATTACGAAAAGTTACAAGTTTGATCATCATCATCATCATCATCATCATCATCATCATCATCATCATATATATATATGTCATCAACATATATTCCTTTATTTTTCCATATAGAATTTAACCATAGCACTTTTTAATAGCTTAATTCTGAATTATCAGTTAATTTCATTTGATAATTCAATTTGATTTTTAAATAAAAAACAGATCGCGGAACTCTTGAACGGCCTAAGACAATCAGAAATTGACCTGCTCGAGCTTTCCACTCTAAAATCCAAACTAGAAGACTTCAAAGAGGAAATAGCCGACTTACAGTCGAAACTCGACAAGTCGAACCAAGATATTGACGATCTGAAAGCTGAGATAGCCAATCTGAGGAACGAGCTGGAAGATTGTAACAAGCAAAACGCTGAGCTGCAGGAGTATTGCACGGACAAGGATGCTCTTTCGAAGAAGCTGCGCGACCTGGAGGAGGATCTCGCGGCTGCGAAACTCACAATAACCGATCTGGAGGAAGAGGTGGACGTTTCGAGGAGAGACAATGAGAATTTGTTGAACGAGCTAGACGAGGCGAGGAAACAGGTGGAGGCGTTGACCGAGCAACTGGAGGACGAGAGGGCGGCCAGGAACGCGTTGGAGAAGGAAGTGGAGGATAGCCGAAATGAGATTGAAAAGTTGCAGAAGGAGAATTCGGATCTGAAGGATCAGATCGACGCCGAGAGGAAGGAGAACGATAAACTTCGCCAGGCATTGGAAGCGTCGAAAGAGCTGGCCGACGAGAACGAAAAGTTAAAGGCTCGACTGGAGCAGCTGAAGAACGAGAACGACAGCCTGACGCAGAGCATGAAGGAGCTGAACGATTTGAATAATCAGCTGAGAAACGACTACGATAGTATGAAACGGGCGATGGATAATTTGCAAGCGGAGATCGACAAACTGGCGGACGAGTTGGCCAACGCGGAACAGAAACGCGACGCGTTGTTGAACGAGAATAACACTATCAGAAAGCAGCTCGAACGAGCGATTGCGGAAAACGAGAGTCTGAGAGCCGAACTGGACGAGGCTGGCGAACAACTCGACAAACTGAAATCGGAGGAAAGCGAGCTGCTTAAGAGCCTCGACGAGATGAAGCTCGAGAACGATTCGTTGAAGCGGGATATGAAGGCGTTAAGGGACGACCTTGAGGATTCTAGGGGGCAAGTGGAGGAGCTGAAAGCCGCTGGCGATGCGTTAAGGGCGGCGGATAAGGATAAGAAACTCGAACTCGTCGAACTAGAACAACGAGTGGAGAGCTTGAAGTCCGAGAATGATCGCTTGACGAAGGAGAACGACGACCTGAGAAACAGAAACATGGAATTGCAACGGAGATTAGAAGAGCTGGATCAGATAAAGGGGGAAAATGCAGATTTACTTGCTGAAATGGATCGTTCGAGAAAAGAGCTGGATAAAACCTTGGAGGACATTGATCAGTTAAAATCCGAAATAGGTTCTCTGAAGGACGGACTGGACAATTGTGTGGGTGAAATGGAAAAACTGAAAACCGAGAACAATGACCTGAAGGAGGAGAATGAGTCTTTGAAGTCCGAAATTCAGGACATTGCCAATCGCTTGAAAAAAGAAAACGACAGTCTGAAAGATAAAATTGTGGAATTGGAGAAAAAACTGGCAGAATTGGATAAACTGAAGGGGGAAAATGCTGATTTGCTCAGCGAACTGGATCGTTTGAAACAGGAATCGGAGAAAACCTGGAAAGAGGTTGATCAATTAAAATCCGAGGTAGGTTCGGTGAACGACGCCCTCGACAAGTGCGTGGATGAGATGGAAAAACTGAGACTCGAAAACAGTGGCCTGAAAACGGAGAACGAAGCTTTGAAGTCTGAAATTCGGGACACTGTCAATCGCTTGAAGAAAGAAAACGACAGTTTGAAAGATGAAATTGCGGGATTGGAGAAAAAGCTGACGGAATTGGATGACCTGAAGGGAGAAAATGCCGATTTGCTCGGCGAACTGGATCGTTTGAAACAGGAATTGGAGGAAACCTGGAAGGAGGTTGACCAATTAAAATCCGAGGCAAGTTCGTTGAAAGACGCGCTCGACAAGTGTGTAGACGAGATGGGGAAGTTACGAACTGAGAATGATGATCTTAAATCGGAAAATCAAGCTTTGAAGTCCGATATTCAAGGACTCGACGATCGTTTAACGAAGGACGACGCCGATTTGAAAGCGAGGAACGAGGAACTGCGACAAAAATTAGGAGAGTTGGACAAACTGAAGTCGGAAAACGCGGATTTGCTCGGCGAGGTCGATCATTTGAGACGCGAGGTGGAAAAACTTTTAGTGGATATCGATCAATTGAAATCCGAGGTAGCTTCTTTGAAAGACGCGCTGGATAAGTGTGTCGGCGAGATGGAGAAGCTGAGAAGCGAGAACAATGGTTTGAAGTCTGAAATTCAGGGGATGAAAGGTGAAGGGGATAGTCTAGCCGTGGAGTTAAATAATCTGAAGAACGAGATTTCCACTTTGAAAGGGGAGAGAGATCAATTGAGCAAGCAATTGAGCGACAATAAGACGGACAACGAGAAACTGCGAGCGAACAGCGAGAAACTACGAGCGGAAAAGGCTCAAGTTGAAGCCGAAAACGAGAAACTGAGAGAGGAGATAAATTCCTGCAAGCAGGAGAATGATAAGTTAAAAGACGAACTTGCAAAATTACGAGAACAGTTGCAATCGTTGAACGACGAGTTGAATAAATTAAAGGCAGACCTCGATAAATCCGAGGAGAAAATTCGGTCTCTGGAACCGTTGGTCTCTCGTTTACAGAGTGAAAACGATGGATTACGAAATGATTTGATAGATTTGGAGAACCAGGCGAACGATTTGAAAGCAAAAATGCGCAAAGAAACTGCTGACAACGAAAAGATGCGAAACGACTTGAAGATATTGGAGGATCAGGTGCAAGATCTGAGTAAGAAGCTGGACAATGCCAGAACAGAAAACGATGCCTTGAAACAGGAGAATCAAGATCTCAAAGCAAAGTTATTGAATATGGATCAAGATTTATCGAATTTAAAAGCGGAGTGTGCCGATCTGAAACAAGAGATTGCTGACCTAAAGAAATTAGTTGACGAGTTAAAGGAAAAAATCACTAAATTGGAAGCAAACGTGGATCATTGGAAAATGGAGAATTGTAAGCTTCAATTAGAGATTGATAAATTGAGAGCTGATCTTGAGGGAGCGTTGAAAGATGTGAGAGAGTGTAAGGTAAAAAAAATTGCAACATTTACTGTAAGAACGTATACTTTCATTCTTATTAGGATATATTGGTTTTATACAAAACGGAAGTTGCTCTAAAATAATAAAAATAATACTCAGTGTTCTTAAATTTATTTTTAACATTTAATAGGCTAGAAATAAAGCACTACAAGAAGAGTTTAACCATTTGAAGAATGAAAAAGATGAGCTTGATCAAAAGCTAGCTGACTTAACGTCGCAGTTCGAACAACAAAAGAAGACATTGGAAGCAGAAAAATCGGCGAAAGATAAGGGTGATTCAGAGATCATAGATCTCAAAGACGAACTTGATGCATTGAAAAAGGAACTAGACAAATTGAGAGCGGACAATAATAGATACAGAAACGAACTGGACGATCTAGGTAGACAGCTTTCAGCGGCAAGGAACGAGCTAGAAAAGTGCAAAGACGAGGTTTTCGCGTTAAGAGACGCCAATAACGCGTTAAAATCAGAACTGGATCTCTTGAAAAGTTTAAAGGACGAGTACAATAAATTGAAAATTGATATAGACACTCTGAAAGCGGAAAATGCGAACCTTCTGCAGGATAGAAAAAATCTCGAAGACGAGTATGGCAAGTTGAGAGGAGAAGGTGATGGTCAGAAAATAGAGATCGATAGGCTAAGATCTAACTTAGATTCAGAAAAGGAAGCTGCGGAAAGATTAAAAGTAGATCTACAAAATTGCCAAGCTGAGAACGATAAGCTGCAAAATGAATTAAACGCGATGGCAGACGAGCTGGGAAAATTAAGAAAGGAAAACGATCGTATGAAGAACGGGATCGAACAGTTGAAGAAGGCGTTGGCAGTTGCAGAAGCGAAGGTAAAATCTCTGGAAGATGAACTTTCCGATTTGTTAGTCGAGAAAGAAGAGTTGATCAACGAACTTGATCGTCTCCGGCAAGAGCTGAACAGTCTTCGAAACGAGGCAGAGAAGCAGATGACCGCGAAAGACACAGCCGCGAAGGAGCTAGCCGCCCTGAAGGACGAACTGGCAGCTCTAAAAGCGGCGTTGGACGAGACTCGTCGCGAAAACGAAACGCTGAAGAATGAGAACGAGAAGCTGAATGCGGAATTAGCAAAGTTGAATAAGCAATTGGAAGCCTTGAAAGATGAGAATGCAAAGCTGGGAGACGAAAATGCGAATCTGAAGGATGAGAATGCGAAATTGACGGCGGAGTTAGCCGAAACGAAGAACAAATTGACGCAGGCGGAGAGACAGCTGAACGATTCGAGGAATGAGAACGATGACCTGAGGAAGAAGCTGGCTGATCTCGAGAGCACGGTGAAGGAGCTGGAACCTCTAAAGAAACAATTAGAAGATGCTAAGAAGGAGCTAGATAGATTGAGCCCGGAGCTAGATAAATTGAAATCGGAGAATGCAAAATTGCAGGAAGATTTGAATAACGCGACGAATGAATCGAACAGGTTGGGAAACGATTTGGACAGATTGAAAGCCGATTATAAATTATTAGGACTTGAACTGGCTGAGTTGAGGGATGAGAAAGATATGCAAAAACGTGACGACGCGTTAGAAGAAGAACCAATCAAAATAAAGGAAGAGAATGTGAAACTGAAAAGCGATTTGGATGATTGTCAAGTGGAGAATGAAAGATTGCGCAAAGGATTGGAAGACTTGAAATTGCAAAATGCAGAATTGCAGAATGATTTAAACAAGGCGGAGAACCAAGCGAGTAAATTAAAGGGCGATTTGGATAAATTGAAAAGCGATTACGGCGACTTACGGTTAGAGTTAGGTAAACTAAGAAATGAGAAGAATAGACAGAAGGAACGCGATGCTACGTTAAACGGGGATCTTGATAAATTGAAGAAAGAAAATGATGAGTTGAAAGATGTGAATGAGAAACTGAAAAGCCAATTATTCGATTGCCAAGCAGAGAATGAAAGGCTGCATGAGGAATTGGAAAAGTTGAAGAAGGAAAATGCCGAACTGAAGCAAGGTATGATAAGTATTGCAGAAGAGTTTCGATTGTTGCACCACCGTCATTCAAATTGGATAGAGAGTTTATAAATTCAAGCAGTGGCTAATGGACGGCGTTTAATATTTATCTTATTTAATATTTAACAGTATTCGGTATATTTTTGCACTAATGTTTACAGTAGTCGGTATATTTTTATTTCAACTTCAAATTATTCGCTCCGACGATACATTTTGATTTTGTTACATCAAAATACAAGATTATATTTTATTATTCATTTTTATTAGATAGAAAATTATATTTTACAAAAAAACTGAATAATAAATCATGTTCTACAAATATACGCATCAGATTTTGAGAAAATCTGATTTACATCCATATTTTTGTTCATAAAAATTATACTGTTAAAATACATTTTTCTGTTACTAAGTACTAATTAATTGAGATTGTGACAAAACATTATTTATATTACTATCTTTTTGCAAAGTCATACATACATATTATCTATGAAATGAATTTTATACAGCGGAGAAGATAGAGCCTAAGAAAACGGAAATAGATAAAGATATTCTAGAAGACTGCAGCGACTTCATTAAAGCGAACGAATTACTAGAGAAGAAATTTGAAAAGCAAAACGAAGGTAAAAATTATATGGAAATTTTTTTGTGAGTAAAGAAACCCAGAGATTTGAGAATTGATTTTTATCGTTTATCAAATTTTTGTTTTAGATTGCAAGATATAAAATATTCTTCTTTTACACTAAAATTTTTTTTTCTGTTGTATAAAATAGGTGTGCAACGCATTCGGGATTATATTAAATATTTGGAAGGTAAAATTAAAGAACCTAAAATGGCAGACAAGCCAGAAGAGGAACCAGAAATTGATCTAGAATTGAGAAAAGACATTGCAGACTTATTAAAAAAATCGCATAATCTGTCCAATAATATTTATCAAACGGAACAGGAAATAAAAAATGTTGGGGTATGTAAAATTTTGTATTTTAAATGTTTCGAGTTTTTTATTTTGAAAAAATATTGTTTCTTTTAAATTAGTTTCTGATATTTTTTCATTTTTTTATAATGCATGAATAAATGACGATATGGTTATTGATGAAAAATGGATTTATATTTCTCTTTACTGTTTTACTAAAATTATTTGTATCGTTTTATTAAAATACGTGCATAATGATACTACAATAAATGTAAACATAATTTTTTAATTTCATAGATAAAAATATTTACTAAAGATATTTGTTAGCAATTTATAAGATATTTATATATATGAAATATTTAATTTTATTATTTTAATTCATTATATTAATACGATGTACAGGTTACACCTTACGAAGGAACCTTCGATCCTGATAGTTGGCTGAATGTAAGTCCAAAAACAATTAAGTATAAATTAAATACATTCATTAAATAAGAATTCAATATCATTGTAATTTTTTTATTTCTGTATATTTCTAACAGATGTTTTTACTGTATATTAGTTATAATTTTTAAGTAAAAAGCATTCATTAGTAAAAGTATGTAAAAGCATATCTATTTATTAATAATATCTAAATTTTTGCTTTTAACAAAAGCTTTTAATAATATAAGAACGTAAAAAGTTTGTAGTCGAAAGCTTCTATGTGAAAGCTACTATTTTCAATAATTACTGTTTCAATATGTAGAGTATACGTAGAGTACAATACGTAGAGTATTCAAAATGTAGAGTATACGTATACGTATCTTTTTTAATTATTTATTTTCATTAAATTATCAAAAAAATATTAATAACTTACTTATACATCAAAATTTATTGATAGTCGTTGATATTTTTAATATTACCAATTATAAGGAGTTGATAATATTACCACGAATTTTTGCTATGAAAAATAATTGAAAAAATTATTTTATTCATTTTATTCATACATGCAAATATTTGGCATACATAAATATTTTCTGACATGTTATATGAGTATTAATGTGTTACTGAATCGCATATTATCGATACATTATATTGATTATGTTATCAACGTTCGTTACCTCACGTGACATCACAATGAACACATCACAATGTTGTAGATTAATGAATGAATAAATCTGATAGATTTAATAAATCATTCTGTACTCCAAAAATTTATATGTATATGTCTTCATCTCACACTAAATCAAAGATGTATCTTTAAATTTGATTTAAACAATAGCTTAAACAACGTTTATTCTTTATTGAAGTTTGAACAATAAAATTTTAAATAAATTACATTTATAATTTTTTCATCTATCTATAAAGTAGAATATTTATAATTTAATATTTTCAGTTGAATTCCACGATCAGAAATATTATTGATTCGTATCATCAAAACTTATCATTTAAAGTTTTTTACAAATTCTAAATCATTCAACAAAGGATTCTTCTTATTAAAAGAAGTTTCGTAAAAATTAGTAGAGCATATGGTGTATTTAGTGAAAACTTAATGTAATCCTGTTGAAAATCAATCTTTTCATTAATGAATCTATTATTTTTTGTTCATATATCATATGTTCACGTTCAGATTCAATCAATAAAGCACTAACTAATATTTCATTTTTGTAAATGGAATATCATTAATGGGGACAATGTATTTTTTGCAGTCGTTGACACTGACACAATTGGCAGAGCTTCACGATAAGATCTGCCAGTTGACATCGGACATGGTACACCAGGACAGCAAAGCAGTACCTTGCGATTCATCTGGACCAGCTATTCCATCACAGGCGGATTACATTATTTTGAACCAGCGTATAGCTGCTTTGCAGAAACAGATAGCGAAGAAGCAAATAGAGACAGACTGGAAGCTACAAGAGCTGAGGAGAGTTCTTCGGAACGAGCAGGCTAACTTAATTCGAATCTCCGATCAGATGAACTTAGAGAGAAAACGCAATTTAAATTTACAGTGCAACATGGATGATTCACCTTAATACGGTTTTCCTTTAATCTCGTTCGACGACCGTCTTCTCCGAGACATTTCACGGATGAGAAGAATGTATTCCCTCGATCCTCGAACGTAATGAATTTAATTTGACGAATCCATGGTGAACTGCGAGATCAACAGGCTGGTACAAGACCGTACGAGGTAAATATGGATTATGAAATTGTATTGTGGAGAATGCATCTATTTCTTGTTCAGTGTTAATGGTGATCACCGATGTAAGTGTATTTAAATGGAAAATATATCGAGACCATAAAATTCGAGATTTTGATTTGTCGTTCTGATGTTATTTCTTTCGGATGAGAAACTGAAAATATTATAAATAAGATTCTAAATACTAAAATAAGGCAAGTTTTATAAATAGATTCCAAAAAACAATAAATAAGAGAAGTTTTTTTTTTATTAAATCATCATAAAAAAAATTATGCTGCTAACTAAAAGGCGGAGATTTCTTGAATGTAGTAAATTTTTATAGTGCCCAAAAATTGTACAAATATTTGGTAATATTTGATAAATATTTGATAGGTAAATAGATATTTAGAATTAGAATTAAATGACAAATTATAAGTTAGAAATTAGAAATTAAAATTAGTAAATAAAATTAAGTAGAAAATTATGAATTAGAAGAGAATTAGAAGAAAATAAGTTAGGAAATTTGAAGCATTAATTACATTTAATAGATAGTTGAATTTATATTATGTTTCCAAATCTAATTTTTCCCAGCAGTTTTCTCTTAAAATTTTCAGATTAATTAATTATGAGCTGGAAAACTTTGGATTCTAATTAAAATTTAAAGAACTTGGGTTTCTGCCAGCTTCTCAATAGCAATTTACATACGGACGTATCATAAATTCACGAGAGCGCTGAAACTTATAATTCGAATCAAAATTCGGAGTTGCGATTCATTTCTCTAGCTTCTACATATTACATAAGTATATAATACTGTATGCAAACTTTATGTTGTTAAAAGAAATTACATTGTCGTTTTACATGTCCGATCATATACAAAATTATGTCTTAAATTTAGTAAAAAAAGTATTTTTACTTTTATATTTGCTGTATAAAGTAAAAATGAAAATGTTTGAAAGAAACGAACTCAAGATTGTCAAAGACTTCACGCTTTAAAATAAAACCAAGTTAATTGTTCTACAATTTTTTTTCTCACAAAATTATAACAGTTCAAAGTATTGACAATTTTTCATGGAGTATGCGAATATTTTCGTTCTTTTTAAAGAACTTCTCATGAATTTTGTGTATTTGATTTAGACCAGAGTTTCTTATTCCGAGTTCATATTTCGCGCGAAACGCGTGCGTATTGTGTTTAGGTTAATCCTGCGATTCTCGAATACATCGATATTTCTCACGATCGATTTTTAAGCGGGAAGCATGGCGGAGAGGAGCACGGCTCGTCTGTGAAGAAGAAAGTATTATCCAGAAGAATCATCCAGAAAGAAGTGTTATCCAAAAGTTTTCAGGTAAAAATATAAATCAATAGTTATTAGATTTGTGTTTGTGTTTTGAATTTTTAAGATAAAACGTGCATTCTTAACTCCAATTCAAGGTAAGACTTAACCAAATAATTATTGCACATACTTTTCAGCAATTAAAGAAATAATAACATATAAACAGAATATACTATGCTAAAAGTTATTTATAATTTTATACTAAAATTTAATTTCAATTTTAACCTAATCAGTAGAATTTCAGTAGAGATATTATAACCTCATACTATGACTAATTTATCATTATACATAATATGCTTTTACTTCTATTGTAACGTTTTCTACTCATTTGTTAATTTTTTAACTTTATATATTACTTTATATATTCTTAACTATTCTAACATTAAATTCAACAATAATTTATTAAGAATGTACGTATTTAATGGCTAAAATAATAATTCTACTAATATAATAAAATTTCTCATTTCTCAGTTTAAACTATTGACAATATTTCATCGAATGTATGAATATTTTCGTTCTTTTTTAAGAATTTTGTGTATTTTGGATCAAAGTTTCTTATTTTTTATTTCTAGTTAACATTTCGTGCGAAACGCGCGATTGCAGCGCCAACATGTGGTGAAATATGCAATACACATCCTGCGATTCTCGAATACATCGATATTTCTCACGATCGATTTTTAACCGGGAAACATGGCGGAGAAGAGCATGGCTCATCTGTGAAGGAGAAAGTATTATCCAGAAAAATCATCCTGAAAAAAGTGTTATCCAGAAATTCTCAGGTAAAAATTTAAATCAATAGTTATTAGATTTACGTTTGTATTGTGTATTTGTAAGATAAAACGTGTATTTTTGGCTTCAACTCAAGGTAAAATTTAACCAAATAATCATTACATGCAATTTTCAACAATTAAAGAAATAATAGCATATAAACATTTAAACAGAATATACTGTGCTAAAAGTTATTTATAATTTTAAACTAAAATTTAATTTCAATTCTTATCATTACAAATATTGTAATCTTGTAATTGACTAACTCATTGTTATATGTATACATGTATTTTATTATATACTTTTATATACACATTTTTATTATAACATTTTCTTCTTAATTGTTGATTCTTTAACTTCATAAGTAATTCTTAACAATTCTAATATTCAACAATAACTTATTAAGAATGTACGTATTTAATAGTAAATAATTTTACTGCGTAAT